TGTAGTACAAGCAGAGCCGATTTGGATTGACCCACTCGTGGGCTACTTGCTTCACGGGACCCTCCTTGCAGATCGTAATGCGGCCTGAAGGGTAGAGCGCCAGTCAGCAAAGTATGTCATCATAGACGGACAGCTGTACCGGAGATCCTTCACACTCCCCTACTTGCGCTGCTTGCGATCCTCAGAGGTCGAGCTCGTTCTCTATGACACTCATGAAGGCTTGTGTGGCGGTCACGTGGGGGGTAGGGCTCTCGCCCAGAAAGCGTTGTGATAGGGGTACTATTGGCCCACGATGAAGGCAGACATACTCGAGCTCGTCAAGAAGTGCGATCAGTGTCAAAGGCACACCAACATCCACCATCGACCTGCTGCCGACCTCAAATATCTCACTAGCCTGTGGCCCTTCGCACAATGGGGAATCGATATTCTTTGCCCTTTCCCACCAGTGACAGGACTGAGGAGATTCCTAGTGGTAGCAGTAGATTACTTCACGAAGTGGGTGGAGGCGGAACCCCTAACAACGATCACAGCCCACAACATACAAAATTTCTTTTGGAAGAATATAGTATGTCATTTCGGGCTACCTCGGGTACTTATCTCTAACAACGGAAAGCAGTTCGAGGACATCAAGTTCCAGAGTTGGTGCGCCGAGATGGGGATACAGCAGAATTTCACTTCGGTGGCACACCCTCAGGCAAACGGGAAAGCATAAGTCACAAACAGAGCAATACTCCGTGGACTAAAGGCCTGCTTAGCCCGAGCTAAGGGACTATGGGTAGACGAGCTGCCTAGTGTATTATGGGCTTACCGAACTACCGTTAAGACCGCCACGGGTGAAACCCCCTTCAACCTCACCTATGCACGGAAGCGGTGATCCCAGTCGAGATCGAGGTGCCTACACTACGCCTGGAGGCATACAACGAAGAAGCAAATGACGACGAGCTTTGTACCAACCTCGACCTGGTAGAAGAAGTACAGGACCTAGCATACATCCGGGCTGCAGCATACCAGCAGAGAGTGGCTCGGTACTATAATGCCCGGGTCAAGAAACGACATTTCTGTGTCGGTGACCTGGTTCTTCGGAAAGTTATGGTACCTGAGCCCAGTGTCGGTAAGCTTGGACCGAACTAGGAAGGTCTGTACCAAATAAGGCGGGTACTCAGGGAAGGTACGTACGAACTCGAAACCCTAGAAGGAAAACAGGTACGTTGAGCGTGGAACATCAGCAACTTAAGGCGATACTACCTGTGATCGTTGGACTGGAGAGAGGACTTCGAGTCACCCCCAGAAGTCCAAGGACTAAAGTGCCGAGCTGATAAAATACCTCGGCACTACGATACAGTCGCCTCCTCGGCATGGGCACATAAGTCCCAGTTGCCTCTTCACCATGGGCAAAACCAAAGGTAAGGGGTGGAATGTGAATCGCTCCCAAAGCCTAAGGGCTAAGGTACCGAGCTGACAAAAGACCTCGGCACCACATAAGTCACAATCACCTCTTCGGCATGGGCGAACAAATCCCAGTTGCCTCCTCGACATGGGTAAATAAGTCCTATTCGCCTCTTCGGCATAGACAAAGTACCTCTAATGCCTAAGGCGTAGACAACTTGGATATGAGCCCTACGATGTCTAGTCCACTTCGGCATATAACAATGGGTTGAGCCTGTTAAGGACAACCGACATCTAAATGAGTAGTTCGTGTGCGGACAAGCCGGGTATATACCACGCAATGTCGCTCACCTCGGCGTACATTATGTGAAGTTACCCCTACTAGTAGTCCGGGTAGATAGTTCGGGGTGACATCCACTTAGAAAAATTTTACTTTTGGTTATCATTACTTGTTGTCCAGTTCGGTAGCTCGACAATTCAGGGTAACCCATACACCTGCTCCTATCTTTTCCTGGTTTAGATCGTCAGATCGAGAGTCACTTACACTTAGAATATTTTTGCATAAGAATTAGTAAAAAAAAAGCTTGTATTTCATTGATGAAAAGATTTTAAGTACAAAGATCTCATTATAACCCCAGCTCGGTAGCCTCGAGGTGTACATCTAAACAGTAAAAAGAAGAAAAAGCAGGGATCATGCATGTGGACTGCCAGGTAGGCCGGTCTCCATATGGTTCGCATCCTCTTGACCCGATGGGCCCGCCTCTAAGACTTCGTCATCACTTTCTTCTTCAGATGAGCCGGGCTCTTCGTTCGTCGCCTCCGCCACCTCGAGAGTAAGATCAGACATAGAGACGACTCTGAGGTCAAGATCGGGGAATTTCTGCTGCATTAGATACTTGCACAACTTGAAGCTGGAACGATAGGAGCTCGATCCATATTCGACCTGGAGATCATGGAACTCTGAGGATTCCTTGAAGCGGTCAATGGTGTGGCTTCTTTCTTCAGCTCACGCCTCTTGGATGGCGGTCTTGAAGATCTCAGTTCGCTCTTGGATCATTGCTTCGAGATTCTCGATCTCTCGTTGAAGCTTCGCCTTCTCCTCGGTCATTGCTGAGATCAGCTTCTGGATCATGAGCCCAAGGATACTGACCTAGAGGAATACTAAAGACTAAGCTATCGGGAAGACGATAGCGAGCTACTAAATACATTAACCTATCCGAGGTCAAGATAGAAGGACCGAAGTCATCCGGATCCCGACCCCGGGAAGAAGATGGGACCTCCGTCCTAGAGGTCAGTCCCTCCTCGTGAGCCTCGAGCTCGCCAGGCCGAGATGGCCCAACTTCAGGTACAAAAGTTTCTGCTAAAGACCGAAGAGGGGAGTCGCTCGGCGACGAGCTGACCTCCCTAACAGGGGCCGCGGACTGCACCTCGACACCCTCGACCTCACTAGAGTCACCTAAGAGCCTATCTATACTAGAGCTAGACATGATTAAAAAATAAAGGAGAACAAACTAAGGAAAACACGAAGTCACCAAGAGAAGGACGACCTCGGAACACAAAGAAAGAGCGAGCTGAAAGACTCCAACGCGACCTCGGGAGAGCTCAATCATCGAATTTTTGGAAAAGAAGAGGGGTCCCTCGGCCCCCTATTTATAGTTCACCGCGAGGTGGTTAACAACTGAGATCTGCTCGATCCAACGACTCATGAAAACCGGTTACATGATGCCCAAGGACGAAATCGGTTGAGTGCGTTTTTGATGTCCGCGGAGTCCATAAATAGCGTGACGTCCGCACGCACACCCAACGCGACGTGGGCTACGGCTGGTTAAACCGAAGGTTCGAACAGGTCCGACTGGCTGATCCGCTCGATAAATCTCTTAGACCTCGTGCCAAATCCACCTGGACTCGTCATGAACTCCCCGCACTAGGTCGGGACCCCTGGCACGGGGAGTGGGGGGCAATTGATGAAGGGCGATTTGGCCCGACCTAGTAACAGGGGGACACGTGGACACGACCTAACTATTAAGATGACAAATCAGCCCGACATGCCAAGACCGCAACAGATCGAACTCGGATAATCAAACCACCTCGGGATGAGTTCACCTCGGTGTAAGGTCGCTTCAGGACCACCTCGGTCCCAAGGCACTTCGGCATTCGCCTTAGGTCAGATCTAAAGACCAGTAGCTCGGGTAATATTGACAGACCACTACATGGCAACCCTGAAGATCTCGCCATCAGATTTCGAGCCTTGCGGGATCACGCCTCATAACAGTAAGACTTATCTCATTCCCGTCCGGTTTGGGCGGAATTGATAGGCCCCATCAATTATCCCCCATTAACGCGGAAACGGATCTCATCGTGGCGAGGATATCGGAACTGCTCCGCGAAACCCGCGATGACTCCACTATATAAAGGTTCTACCCCTGGAGGCCAAGGTACGCGTGATTTCTCTGCTCTCTAGCTCTTAACACTCAAAAGCTTTTTAGCTTGCATTCAAGTATACTGACTTAAGTATCGGAGCGACCTCGCCGGGTTAGCCACCCCGGGTTCTCTGATTCTTCTTTTGCAGATCGACCTAGTCCGCCGTTTACTGGAAGCCAGATCACTCCAACAGGGAGCAGCCGGATCACGCTTCATCAAGGAGAATGACAAATCAGCCCATATCAGAATTTTATAGCCCCAAAGTACAGGGGAAATGCATCCTTACTGTGAATTGATGCCAAATTCACGGGTAGGATGTGATAGGGGGAAGAGGGCTAGTAGTAGGGGGGGCTGGAATTCAGAATTCTGCATAGTATGTATCCATACTTGTCCCTTGAAAAAAAACACAACCTACACTTTATGCATCAATGCCCACAAATGAATTTACATCAATTCCTAGCTGCCACCTACCCCAACAGTAATTTGAGCCTATAAATTTTGACCGCTGATCGGTCATTCTCCCTTCCTTTAATATCCAAGGAATAGTCCTATCTAAATTCGACACAAGCTGGTAACAGGGCAAGTCGTCAAGGCCCAGTTCTAAGCCCAAAGTCATCGAAAAACTCGGGTTGGGCCTCCATTGTTGATACAGCAAGTGCCAAGTGAGTGGCTACGAGCCTACGATAGATCTCCGCCTTTGTCTCTCGAACAACGCACTACGCGGCAAGTCGCCATTTCGCCAAGTTCCTTCGCTTCCACCGCGATTCGGTCCCCGTCCTCATCAAATGCTGAATTGAGAAGTTTGGCTTCTCGTGATTTAATTGTACTGCAACTGAAGTGGGAAGTGATAGTGACCACTCAAGTGAGAACTGAGAACTCTTCCCCCCCTCCCCTGCAACATCAGCAAACACACCCTTCTTCTTCTTCTTCTTCTTCTTCTTCAGAACTCGTACTTCTTTCTCTCAGTAAAGTGAGGACGGGTACAGCATAGGAAGGGTACACAGGTTCGGCAACCAAAGAAAGCCTTAGGATTCCGGTTAAAGGCCCAGGAATCGAGACCCACAATACAAATCTGATCAGGTGATTCAGATCTGATCTCGTTTTAACAATGGGGGGGCAATTGAATCTCCCATTTTCGAAGCGAAATGCTCGACAATGGAGGCTTCTCGATCTCGTCTCCGCTGCTTTCTTTGGGGCCATCTTCGTTTTCTTCCTCCTCGTCTTTACTCCCCTAGGCGACTCGCTCGCCGCCTCCGGACGTCAGACGCTTGTCCTCTCCACGGGGGATCCTCGCCAGAGGCAAAGGATGGTTGCCCTAATTGAGGCTGGGAAGCAGCAGTCTATTGAAGCCTGCCCTGCCGAGGCAGTTGATCACATGCCCTGTGAAGATCCCAGGAGGAACAGTCAGCTTAGCAGAGAGATGAATTTCTACCGTGAGCGGAATTGCCCATTGCCCGAGGAGACTCCGCTCTGCTTGATCCCTCCACCCGAGGGATACCGGATCTCAGTCCAGTGGCCCGAAAGCTTGCATAAGGTATATTTTTCTCTTTGTGGTTTTTATCATAGTCTCGAGGTTGGTATTTATTTATACATTTTTCTTCGCGGAAGGTTTAGTTTCAATATTTCAACATCTTCGGTTGTTAAATTCAGATAGATTGTCAATTATTCAATTTGAGTTTTAAAATCAACATGTTGAAATTTTGGGAAAAGTTATTATCTCATTTACACTCCAAAACAGAATCTTTTGTTATGGAGTATAACTGGACATGCTTGGTTTTTGCAGTTAGGACCTTTAGATGCACTTCAAACGAGACATAGTGGGGACAGTTCTAGAAGCATCAATCCCCTCCCCCTCCCCCATGTATGAATAATTGTCAGATTTCATTTATTAAAGGAGGTTAACAAGGACTTTCTATTAACAGAATCGGTAGTTATTCTCAGTGTAGCAACAAGGATCCTCATTATACTTGTTTTCAACTCCAGTGGGGCTTTAGTGAAATATCTTAACGTGCCTGCAATTTTGAACCAGCTCTTACTAGTTTTAGCTGAAACATTGCTGGTGCATTTTCAAGAAGGATGTAAGCTAGATACTATAGCATTTTCATGGCTTCATTTTTTTAGGTCAGAAGGTGCACACCCTGGTGACAAATTTCATGCTGTGAGTGTGTGGACAATGAGATTTACCATTCCATGATTCATGCTGATTCCCAAGATTGATCTATCATAACCTTTCTTCTGCATACCTGTTTGATATCTCAGAAATTCCATTTCATATAGGGGTAACCGAAATGTAGGCTCTTTTGAAACCAAACTGGTACCACCCGTTTTGCAATTTCTTGATATGAAACTGGATTGACAGTGTAAGACAAGCTCACACTGGCAGTGTAATGCCCTAGAAACAAGAGGTTTTAAAATAAGTAGGACTAAAATTGACTATATGACATGTAAATTTAGCAGTAATAGGAGTGTAAATCAGGACACTCTTAGGATTGGAGACCAAGAGATAACTCAATGCGACCATTTTCGGTACCTTGGTTCAATAATTCATAATAAAGGAGAGGTTGAGGAGGATGTCACCTAGAGAATTAGAGAAGGTTGGGAAAAATGGGGGGGCGCATCTAGGATTTTGTGTGATAGGAGAATACCATGTAGATTAAAAGGAAAATTTCTATAAAATAGTTGTAAGGCCAGCTATATTGTATGGAGTAGAGTGTTAGGCAGTCAAGAAACAACATGTTCAAAAAATTAGTGTAGTAGAAATGCAAATGCTAAGATGGACGAGTGGAGAAACTAGAAAGGATAGGATCAGGAATGAAGCCATCCGTAGAAACCTAGGAGGGAAGAGAGAGAGAGTAGGCTAAGATGGTTTGGTCGCGTGCATAGAAGACCACCAACAGCTTCGATTAGATGATTAGTTACAAGTTGATGGGGGCTAGATTAAAAGGAAAATTCTATAAAATAGTTGTAAGGCCAACTATGTTGTATGGAGCAGAGTGTTAGGCAGTCAAGAAACAACATGTTCAAAAAATGAGTGTAGTAGAAATGCGAATGTTAAGATGGATGAGTGGAAAGGATCAGGAATGAAGCTATTTGTAGAAACCTAGGAGTAGCTCCAATAAGTGATAATATGAGAGAGTAGGCTAAGATGGTTTGGTCATGTGCATAGAAGACCACCAACAACTTCAATTAGAAGAAGTGATTTGTTACAAGTTGATGGGGGCTAGAAGAGCTAGGGGTAGACCAAAAAGGACATGGGTAGAAGTAGTAAAAAATGATTTAAGCACTAATAGTTTAATAGTAGATATGGTTTTAAATAGAACAAAGTGGCGAAACAGGATTCATGTAACTGACCCCATATAGTTGGGATAAGGCATGAATGATGATGTTGGTATTATATATATATTTATAATATATTATATATTATAAATAAATAAATACACATAATATACATAAAAATATATCCCGGTCAGTTTGGTTAAACATCAGTTTTTTTCCTCGGTTAACTAAGAACCAAATGCGTTCAGTTTTTATGAATAGCAAATCGAAACTGAACCGATCAGTTTGGTTAACCACATTTTTCGGTTCAGCTTGGTTTTTCAGTTTTTTATGAGCACCACTAATTTCATATGCTGTTTGGTTCTGTAATATGTACAGCTGCCTGATTGTCATATAATAATAGAATAACTATATAGGCTCTGTAACAGGAAACCAATCTCATCTAGCAAGTGTTTCAACCACATCAGCTCACAAGTGGCATGAGCCATTGCTCTATACTCGGTCTCTGCATTATGCCTAGCTATGACACTTTGTTTCTTACTTTGAGACACATTGCTCATCAGCATCCCTCCTCTTTGAGATAACAAATGGAGGGTCATCAATCCACCTCCAATCACTGTAACTGATTGGTTTCTCAGACCTGGTTCTCTTAATAATAGGAGAGAAACCAGACCTGAAAAGAGGAAAAAAAGTGAAATGGAGATTACAAGAGAGAGCGAGAAGCAGCTGGCCACACCATATGCTCTGATACCATGTAACAATGGTTCAGACCAATGAAGCAGTGAAAGTGGAGAAGTGAAATAACTTCTGCTGGAAGAGAGGAAAGCCTAGCTTCTGTTTCTTATGTTGCATGAACCAGGTGGGAAGGTACATATATATTACTATAATAGAGTTGGGATTACCAAGGTTGAAAATTTTGATACAATACACCCTGTATTGAGCATATGGTATTGTATCGGGATCTCTCCGATACCCAAATAAGGGGTGTTTTGGATTTTGAGCACTTTCAGGGTGTTGGCATGCCGTAAACCGATCCCCTGAAGCAATACTAAAACAAGTTATTATTGAAACACCAGTTACGCCTGTTTGTGTGTATTGGGTGAATCGATATTCAATACTGTGAACCTTGGGGATTACAAATATACCCCTGTTTAGTATAAAACTAGGACTGGAGTTTCCTTACACAATCAAGATAGTTAACCCAACCACCCTGCTGCCCACTTAATATGCTGAATGGCTAAATCCTGTTTCATTTTCAAGAGTATCAAAATCCCTGGAAGGAAGATATTACACATCCATTAACCCCAGAATTTTCATAAGGAATGTTGCCATCTTATTAGATGTCATTGATTTATCGACACTTTTTGTAGAGTATTTTTATCGAGTTTCTGAATTTTTGGCAGTAAGTTGGTTCAAAGGTTTTCTTGATGGCTCAATCTATGTCATCACTAAGGCGGGGTGGAAGGGAGAGCTGGTCATCGCCAAGAAAAGTTTCTCGGTGGAGAAGAAAATTAATAACAGGGATGCTTTTGTCCAGTTTACTTGGAAGTCTTTGGAAACGGTAAAAAACAAGTTATTTGTATTCTAGAAGTGAAGACTAAGCAAGGTTGGATTCAGGTCGCGGAAGCTTTAGAGGACTTCGATCATTGAAGGTGGTTATGTGAAAGGAAATCGAATAGTCCAGTTGCTGATCACAAAACGAACAGTCCAGTTACTGTTCACGAAATTTCAGCAACAGAAAACCCTTCTGTTTCACTTGGTGAAGTGGAGAGGGTGGAAGAAACCAGAGGAGTGAGTGTAGCTCTTGCTTGCCCGAAGTTGTTGATAGAAGGAGGTTTGCAGAACTAGGAGAAAAGGAAAGTTCTAGGATTAGAAAAGAAGGTGGATGATTGGAGCGGAGTATTACATGATATAGTGAAGGTGTTCAGTGTTCCCAATGGTAGAAATAGCCTTTTTGATTCTGTTCGGGTGGACTGCAGCTATTCTTGACCTCGACTGTCATTTCGAGAAAGTGAGTAGAGTACAAACTTGTGAAGGCTGTGTGATGCTGGAAAACTGGAATCCGTCTTGCAACGAGCTTGAATTAGAGGAAGAGACGCTGCAAATAAAATTATTAGGGCTTCCATTTAATCTTTGGAAGCAGGAGATTTTCTCTGAAGTGGTGGTTCTCTATGGGGGATCCTTGGTAGCGATGAACACCTCATCCTTGAAAGCGGCTAGAATAGATTGTAGGAAACCAAAGAAGCAATGGGGTTGGGTTTGGATGGGGAATTAGGGTCTGCAGAACTTCAGGCTGAGGAAAGATCAAGAGAGGATGAACTAATTAGAGAGAAGGAAGGAACCAATGAGGTAAAAAGGAATACAAGAAGTGGGGAAAACCAGAATGAGAGGTTCCTGTGATGGAGTTGGTTGACAAGATGGGGTTGAAAGTGGAGAAAGATAAGGAAAGGAAACCTCAAAATAAAGTGATTAAAGATAAGGAAGGAAAGAGGAGAAGGAAATTAAATGGAGTGGAGAAACTTATTAAGATGTTGAAAGGGATAAGGAGTTCAGTGGTAGAGGAGGTAGGAGAAAGGGGGGGGGGGGGTTATAGGGTAGAGGGCTTGGGTTCAGTTATTTTCATGATTATGAAGATCATTAGTTGGAATGTAAGAGGTCTAGGGAGTGCCACAAAAAGGAGAGCAGTTAAAGAGGTATTGGGGAAAGAGAGACCAAATTTTGTTTTGATCCAAGAATCTAAAATTCAGGTAGTCAATAGGAAATGGATAAGAAGCATTTGGGGTGATGAGAGGAATATTAATTGGAGTTTTGCTTCTTCTTGGAGTTTATCGAGGGGAATAATAACAATCTGGAAAGAAGAGGTTAAGGAAATTGCAAGATGGGTTTGAATGGATTCTCACAAATGTCTATGGGCCAAATTCTTATAGAGAAAGGAGTAAATTGTGGGAAGAGCTAGAGGACATTAGGGGTCTGTGAATGGCCTTGGTGTATTGGGGGAGACTTCAATGTTATAAGATTTGTGGGTGAGTCAATTGGAGGTAGGCAAAGGATAACATCAAGCATGAGGAAGTTTAATTCTTTTATTAAGGAATTTGAATCGAGAGACTTTCAATCGGGACAATCTTGTTTCACTTGATCAAATCTCCAAGAAAACCCCATCTTGTCTAAAGCTTGACAGGTTCTTAGTCTCCCTAGATTGGGAAGAACATTGGATTGGCCTAGCTGGGAGAACTCTACCTAGAATTACTTCAGACCATTGGCCCATTTGTTTGTTTCAGAAGAGTATTGATAGTGGCCCAATTCCTTTTAGGTTTGAAAATATGTAGCTCACTCATTCAGATTTCAAAGGGAAGGTCAAAGTTTGGTGGAATAGCTTGGAATAATCAATATTGTGGGAGGGCCAAAGTTTCCTAAAAAAAACTTCAGTTGGTGGAGAAGGAGATTTGAGAGTGGAATAGGGAGAAATTTGGAAGACTGGAGGAGAAAAAAAGTTGATTTGGTCTCCCAAATTGAGGTGATTGATAGCAAAGAAGTGGCGGGTTCTCTTGATGAGGGTGATAGGGAATTGAGATAGTCTCTGAAGAGGGAGCTAGGGGAAACCTTGCTAAGAGAGGAAATAAGTTGGAAGGAAAAATCAAGAGAAAGGTGGATCAAAAAAGGGGATGGTAATACAAAATTTTTCCATGCCATTGCAAATGGAAGGAGAAGGAAGAGATTGATTAGTTCTCTAATGGTGGGGGAAGTGAGGTTACAGATCAGACAGAAATCGTAGTCTTTCTCAGAGCATTTCAGGTCTACTTATAGGAGGCCTTTAAATGAAAGGTGGTTGGTTGAAGGGTTGGAGTGGGGGACTTTGGGGGGAGGCTCAAGTGCACTTTTTGGAGAGAAGCTTTGAAGAGGAAGAGATCAAGGAAGCAGTTTTCTCTATGAATAGATCAAAAGCCCTTGGGCCTAATGGATTCACCATGGCATTCTATCAAGATTGCTGGAATATAATTAAGGATGATCTTCTTAAAGTTTTTCGTGAATTCTATAGATGGGGGGGAGGGTAATCAATTTGGGGATGAATTCTACTTTTTTAGTGTTGATTCCAAAGAAGAACAATGCTTTACAGCCCAGAGACTTTAAACCTATCAGCCTAGTGACAAGCATTTATAAGGTTATAGCAAAAGTGTTGTCTCTGAGGGGGTGGAAAACTTGAAGTTGGTGGTGAAACTATTTGAGAGACTGTCTAACTTGAGGATTAATTGGTTGAAGAGCTTAGTGGTTGGGACCAATATCAATAAGGAACTTTTGAGAAGCTTGGCAGACTCCTTAGGTTGTGAGAAAGGTGAGTGGCTTATGAAATACTTAGGCTTGCCTCTAGGGGATAATCCTAGATCAGCTAGTTTTTGGGCCCCAATGGTGGAAAGGGTTGAGAAGAGATTAGTTGGGTGGAAGAGGAACTACATCTTAATGGGGGGGGGGGGATTAACCCTTATTAAATCTACCTTAGCAAACCTTCTAGTGTACCACATGTCAGTGTTTAGGATGCCACAGGAGGTAGTGAAGAAAATTTAAATAACCATGAGGGATTTTCTTTGGGAGCCAGGGGAAAAGAAGAAAGAAATGATTACTGGATTACTTGGTGAAATGGGAAATGGTGGTGAAATTGAAAACAGAAGGAGGGTTAGGAATTGGTAATTTTAAGATGAAGAATCGGGCTTTACTCAGGAAATGGTATTGGAGGTTTCCTAATGAAAATGAGAAGTTATGGCACAAGGTTGTGGCGAGTATTCATGGCATATCATGCAATGGATGGGATGCTGGATGTCTTCGTAGAGCTACCTTGGATGCCCCCCTCTTCCCCTCCCAGAAGGCCATCCATGATTTTCTTCCTACCTTCTTACTTCATATCAGGTATGACTTGGCCTGTGGTAAAAAAAATCATGTTTTGGGAGGATCTGTGGATTGGGGATACCCCTTTGGGTATTAAATTCCCTTCTCTTTTTGATATTTTCAGGTGTAAGTGTAGGCCTATTTCTGACTTCGTTACTCGGCATCACTTCTCTTCAGGATTGAATTGGAATTTTGGCTTCATTAGGAACCTTAGAGAATCTGAACTTTCTTTGATGACTGATCTTTTGAGCTTGCTGAATTCAGTTTTGGTTCGGATTCTAGAGTATGGGGTCCTAACTTTGATGGGGAGTTCTCTTGTAAGTCTTTTCATTCTCTGGTTGCCGCCCCTTCTTCCTCTTCTTTCCCAGTCAAGGAAATTTGGTGTTCTCCCATTCCTCCTAAAATCAGTGTGTTCTGTTGGGAAGTGTTTCATGGAAGCATTAATACCATTGATATACTTCAAAGGAGGAGACCAAATTGGTGTTTGTCCCCCAACCGGTGTGTACTTTGTAAATTGAATGGTGAGACTATATTTTATCTTCTTATCTCTTGCCCTTTTGTTAGCTTCTTTGGGATTGTTTTACTTCTCTCTTTGGATGCAGTTGGTCTTCTCCTGATAGGTTGGAGGATTTGTTTAGCCCTACTGGCATTAGTTGTACAAAAAAGAGGGGTAGGACCTTGTGGAGATGCACTAGAGGCTAGAGCAGCACTACTTTGGACCGTGTGGGAGGAAAGAAATGCAAGAATATTTGAAGAGAAGGAAAGAAGCAAGGAGCCTTGCTTGAAACTATAGCATTGAGAGTAGCAAGCACATTGGGGTATCATTGCTGCATCTTCAACTACAAGAGAGATCTTTTGAGGTTTGGTCTCCCCCAATAAATGGCTGGAAGAAACTGAATTTTGATGGGAGCTGTTTGGGTAACCCAGGCCCCTCAGGTATTGGGGGTGGGGGGGCATTAGGGATGAAGAGGGGAACATAATTGCTTTATACTCTGGCCCTGTGGAGCAGGGTGATGTGGCAAGATCAAAGTTTTTGGCTGCAGTTTTTGGGATTGAGATGGCAAAAGAAGTAAAGAACTGGGTATTAGTAGGCTGACTATTGAGGGAGACTCTAAAACTGTGGTTAAGTAGCTCTGGTAAAGGGGGAGGGGGTGGCATGGCATTTGAGGAATGAATTCAGAAAATTCAAATGGCTGTGACAGGACATGTTAATCCAAGTGAAATGGGTGAGGAGGACTGCTAATAGCTTGACAGATAACTTAGCCAAGCAAGGGATACATAGAACGCATATGTTTTGGGCCCAAATGTAATACTGAACCGGGGCAGCTTCTATAGCTGGTTTCTTTCACAACTTCTTGTTGTTATCATGTTTTTCAGAAAAAAAAAAAACAGATCTGCTGTAGACCTCTCCAACTAATAACTTTGCTGTAGACCCAATGACTGATCACCGCCTGTTCTTTGCACAGGTGGTGGTCTTCTCATGTGTGGTTTACTTAACAGAGTCCACCGTTAGGATTTAACAGTAATATTAGTTTACTTTTTGTTGTTTATCTTTTAATTTGTATAGCCTAAGAATCCCAAAATTGTATGTTTTCTTCTTCCCATCATATTTTCAATCTTCATCTCTTACTCATCCCCTCTTCTCCCAAAATTTCTTCTGTACGGACTCAACTGAAGTAACCAGAACTCCTTTAATTAAAAGAATCCATCCCATCAATTCCAAAGCAAGTCAGAGATCCATACTGATTAACAGCTGAGATGTTTTTACTTCTAATCGGGTTTCTAATCTTTGTCTGATTAGATTTCTAGGCTGCAGCATAATCTTGCTTGGAACGTAACCTGAAGATAGACAACTGTTATACATTGATTCATTGCAGAACACTTTGAATACAGATATCCGTGTTGGATACGTGTTCATTGGATTAATTGGACTTCTAGGCTTCTGTATACAATGATTCGACCAAAGCAACCAGAACACTTTGAATACAGATATCTGTTTCGGATTCTTTTAATCAAAGGAGTTCTGGTTGCTTCAGTTGAGTTCATACAGAAGAAAATTTGGGGGAAGGAAGAGAGGATGAGGAAGAGATAAAGAGTGAAAATAGGATGGGAAGAAGAAAACATACAATTCTGGGTTTCTTAGGCTATACAAAATAAAAGATAAATAACAAAAAGTAAATTAATATTACTGTTAAATCCTAAGGGTGGGCTCTGTTAAGTAAACCACACATGAGAAGACCACCACCTGTGCAAAGAACAGGTGGTGATCAGTCATTGGGTCTACAGCGAAGTCATTAGCTATAGGTCTACAGCAGATCTAGGTTCCTGAACGTCAATTTTTCCTGCCTGGAAATACACCATAAATACACATACCAACATGAGATCTTACTATCTACAACATGGATATCTTCATATCTTTGATTGCTATTTATTGATTGAAGTGAAATAATGTCATTTGCGTGTGATACATTTGGTGAACATTCTATCTTAAGCACATTAGGGGGATGACGCAGAAGTAATATGTCTCTATCGTGTATCTAAAACTTAATCTTGTTAGATGGAAATGCTTTAGAGTAGGGGTGTTCAAATTCGGCTATCAAACCAAAAACTGAACCGAACCAAATTGAATTATCCAATTTGGTTTGGTTTGAGAAAAATTTAACTGAACCGAACTGAAAACTGAATTAACCAAAATAAATACATATATTTATATTTTAATTATAAATATTAATATTAACATAAAAAATTTATTAATAACTGAAATTTTGGTTCGGTTCATGAAAATGGCCTAACTGAAATGTTGGTTAGGTTCTCTTTCCAAATTGAACTGAATCAAACCGACTGAATGAACACCCCTACTTTAGAGATCATGCCAATGTTAAAAATTACTAGAATTCATTATAACAGTTGTATATGGTGAGTTATTACCCAAACCACCAAGATTTGTCAATCTGCCAGCTTGTTTTACTCCTTGAATACTGCTATATTTAAAGAGTTTCCATTTCATTTTTTAATGCAAGCAGACAGTGTGAGACATCTCTTGTCAATATTTAATAGTTCTCTTTTTGTATGTAGATATGGCACAGCAATATGCCACACAATAAAATTGCTGATAGAAAAGGTCACCAGGGATGGATGAAGGAACAAGGGCCATACTTTATTTTCCCTGGTGGTGGTACAATGTTTCCTGATGGTGCTGTACAATATATTCAAAAATTGGGACAATACATCCCAATAACTGGAGGAGTTTTGAGAACAGCGCTGGATATGGGATGTGGGGTAGGTTGTGTTCCTCTATTACTTCAAAAGCTCTTTTATATATGTATTTTTGGAGGTAGCATAATTCAATTCTCATGCAGGTTGCCAGCTTTGGCGGGTACCTACTTCATGAAGATATTTTGACACTCTCATTTGCCCCTAGAGATTCACATAAAGCACAGATACAGTTTGCATTAGAAAGGGGAATACCAGCATTTGTTGCTATGCTTGGTACTCGCAGGTTACCATTTCCTGCGTACTCCTTTGATCTAATTCATTGCTCTCGTTGTCTGATCCCGTTTACTGCCTACAGTAAGTTCTTCCTTCTCTGTGGAACACTTTTCTATTTTGTTGCTCATATTGATGTTTTTCTGACCAATAAGGAAATTTGGTTGCAGATACAACATACTTTGTTGAAGTTGATAGGTTGCTACGACCAGGAGGTTATCTGGTCATCTCTGGTCCCCCTGTACAATGGCCTAAACAAGGTAAAGAATGGGGAGATCTGCAGGCTGTAGCAAGGGTGTTGTGTTATGAGCTGATTGTTGTAGATGGAAATACTGTCATTTGGAAAAAACCTTCAGATGATTCATGTATGTCCGGTCAGAATGCGTTTGGACTTGAATTGTGCACCGACTCTGATGACCCAAATTATGCATGGTAAGCTTCATAAGTATCCATGGTTAGTTTCTCAATTTGGTTTCAATACACCCTTGGTTGCAGGAGTAGGATCTTAACATATTAAGGTGTCACTGTGCCTTTTTGTTTCTGTTTAGCTTACTTGCATATTATGCATGTATTATTCTTTTTATCAATATATTATGCACATATAATCATATTATGTACAAACTTCACAATCGACATGTTTTGGAGTAAACATTTAGAACTCCACACGGTTGATAATTTCTAATAAGTAATAAGTATTATTTTTTTTTTGTTTTTATAGATCATTTCTATATGCAAATAATTTGCCATTTTCAGAGAACGAATATGGAGTTCGTATATAATAATGTTTTCTTCACCTTTATAGATCATTTCTATGCAAATAATTTTAAAGAAAATATTTTTTTGTCTTTTCTATGTATGTAATCATATATTATACATCTTGCATATTTTACATGATTTGGTCAGTAATCTAGTTAGAAAGAAATGAGAAAATAGAGGGAAAAATAGAAGAGAGAAAGTATAAAGCTGAAGAAAACAGTCTGAAAAAAAGGATGGGCGTACAGTCCCTTTACATTATATGAACTCCTTTTCAAATATAATTGAAAACAACTAGTATACCCGTGATTGTACTCCCTTAAACTGTAAATCATAAGAAATAATCAATGACAAGAACTTAAATGAACCCAGGAATACACCTGTACACATAAACTCCCTACTCTCAAACACTATACAAGACAGATATATGGAGCATTTCTCAACAATATGCATTAACATGTAAAATATATGCATATAAGATAAAATGAAAGAAAACCATACACGAAAGCTACTTGTACTGTAATTTTGCTGTATGCCAAATTGCTAATTTTTTTTGGAAATTCCAAATTGCTAATTATGTTCTTGGTTTGTCAGCATATCTGCTTTCTGAATTGGAGTATGATAACTGTTTGTTCCCTGCACCCTCTTACCCTCCCCATCCTCCAATCCCGCTTCATGCTCAGCATTATCTTTTAATGAGTAAAATCATGAGCTAGTCTTTGTTACTCTTTCTGCTGCTGTTTTGTGTGTTATTTTTTTTCTCCTTTTGACATAATCTGGGCTCTGACATACAACCTCAATTGTCCAAACCTTGGCTTTTATGAAAAGCTCAACCTAGAGGATATATCTGAAATGCATGTCTAACCTGAACGATTATGCAGGTACTCCAAGTTGAAGAACTGTGTTAGTAAGATGTCCTCCCATGTGGGAGAATATGCTGTTGGGAGCATTCCTAATTGGCCAAAGAGGCTAACAAAAGCTCCCTCAAGAGCAACACTCCTGAAAAATGGAGTTGATGTGTTTGATGCTGATACACGGCGTTGGGCAAGAAGGGTTGTGCACTACAAGGAATCTCTTAACTTGAAGCTTGGCACTCCATCCATACGCAACGTTATGGACATGAATGCATTGTATGGAGGCTTTGCAGCAGCATTGTTCTCAGATCCTGTATGGGTAATGAACGTTGTTCCTCCTCACAGTCCTACAATTGGTGTGATTTATGACAGAGGCCTGATTGGAGTGTATCATGATTGGTGAGCAATTGATTCAGATATTTTGAGTCTTTCTAAAATAGATGCAATTTAAAGTGATCTAAATTTGTCGTATTCCCCATAAACCTCTCTATTTTGTTTTGGATTTTACTTTATTCTGCTTCTTGTCTTAATTTACTTTATTTGTACTGCAGCCAAACAAAAGAAGCTAAAATTTGAAATAAAAATAGGTCAGAATTTACACTCAAATCATTTGCACTGCCATGGTTTTGCATCAGTGCAAATTTATTTGCATTGCAACCAAACACAGGCTAAGGAAATTAAGTGAATAGTATTTCCATACATGCCGAAGCTATGCCAATGTATATTACTATTGAGTAGGTTTATCCTTTGTTAACTAGTAGTTCATCATGCAAATGAGAATGCAAATGTTTTTTACTGCACCAAGCTTCTGTACCCTATCTTGAGAATAATCATTTATTTAATTGAATATTGCCTGACTATGTAATCCTAAAATATGCTCTTTGGGTAACATCAAAATTATTCTCAGATCATATTTTGCACTATGTATTTCTTACAACCAACACATGTCTCACTATCTATTTAAAGAAAAGCACAGAAGCTTTCAATTGGTGGTAATCCACAAACAAGAACTGTTAGAAAACCAAAGAAACAAGGCATATTATCGCAATAAACTCACATACTCTTATTTCAATACTTTCTTATTGCTTTTCTGTATAATGGTCTCTTCTATTGACTTGATCCAGAATGCGATGTCCAAACCTCTTGTAGATGCACTTGATCAATTTGCTAACAGTTATTTGTTTGTTGCTGGTAGGTGTGAGCCATTCTCGACATACCCTCGAACTTATGATTTCATTCATGTGAACAGCATTGACTCACTTGTGAAGTATCCAGGCTCAGGCAGGAACAGGTACTTCTAAATGCAACCCACTCTTCTCTATTTTATTTATTTATTTTTTGATCAGTGAAAACCCACTCTTCTCTATTATTGTTCAATGTCTAAAATTCCTTTTGTTTTGTTTTTCCCTTTCCTTGACTTCTCTTGAATGCTTCTGGTTGAACACGTAAAATTATCTATAGATGAGATAATAGGGAGAAATAGAAAGTGGGGAATGTAAATGGAAATATTCCATTAAAGTAAAATGACTCCCTTTTGTGTTAACTTATTGAAAGAAAATCAATATGCAAAATAATTATATTATTACTATACTTTGGATATGGCTCTATTGTCTTATGGTGATGAATAAATATTTGTATTTTACCAAATCTATACACTACTATAAAAAGTACAAATAGGGCCTAAGATTTCTGTAATTTTTCTGGACTAAAATACCCTTTTTTGAAATAGGGTTCCTATCTATCATGAGGGCAGAAAATGTAATTTGAATACTATTATTCATTGCATTCAATTCCCTCTCATTAAATCCCATTTAAGGTATTAACTCTCATTCACCCTCATTTAACTATACATTTAAGGCATTTTTGTTTCTTTTAATTACTAAACTCCAATTAAATCCATACATAAATCATTCTAATAACATAAAAACTTGTACTTTTAAAATTGACTTGGAAAAGCAGTATTTTTATCTAGGTGGTGGTAAGAAATTAAACAATTTTGGGTCAAATGGGTCAACCCATGTTGCGCTGTTGCCACAATTAAACAATAAAAAAAATTAAAACTTGATAAAATGCAAAAAATATAGAAATTAAAGAAAAAATTGGGAACATCTTTAATATCATATATTCATCATATTAGACAAGAATAAGTATGATAAATAAGAAAGACTTTTATTAATGATGAAAATGGAATATAAAGTTTAAAACCAATTGGGAATAAAATTATTTTCTTATTCTCTCTCATTAAGTCTCATATCTAAGGTATATTTTTTCATTAAATCTTATATTTATGATATATTTTTCTCATCATTAAAGTCTATTAATAAAATCCACAAAAGTGATTTTAATAGTATAAAAATAAATATTTTGAAAACAAAACCATTTTCTTCCTTCCTGGTGATGGGTAAGCAATTCAACCATTTGGGTCAAATGGGTTAACCAATAATGCCATAATTAAATAATAAAAATCAAAATGATTAATATATAAAAATACAAAAAAAGAATTGAGCATATCTCTAATATTATATATTCATTATACTAAATAAAATTAAGTATAAAATGTAAGAAATATTTTTATTAATGATAAAAATAGAATTACAAATCTAAAATAAACCTTGAAATTAAATTAAATAATGTCATTGTCAAATAATAAAATTTTTAAAATAAAAATACAAAAAATCATAAAAATAAAGAACAATTTGGACACATATTTGATGTTATATATTTATAAAAAAATAAAATATTGGGTCCATCTATAATATTATACATTCATTATGTTGAACAAAAATAAGTATTATACATAATTTTATCAATAATGGAAATGCAATAATAAATGGTTTGGGTGGTGGGCTAGTGGTTTGGGTCAAATGAATTAACCAATAAGGAAGAACATAATATGTTGTCCAATCAACACATTGTGTATACATGCATAAATAAAAAACACATTTTGTGTATATATATACTAATTTCTTCTTCTTCTTCTTCTTCTTCTTCTTCTTCTTTCCTTATAACAGAAATAGGGGTTCAGCCCCTATATATATATTTTTTATTTTATTTTCTTTCTTTTTCTTCTCGTGATTATGTTGATTTTCTATACTTTAAAATGAAATTTATACTTTTTTTACGAAAATTATGGATATTTATTAAGGAAATATGATTATGGAACTTAGGGAATTACCCTAGGATGGATGTTTTTACTTGAAAAAATCTATCGCCTAGGCGCCCCCTTGTCGCCTAGCCTCGTCTTGGTGCCTTGAAAACTATGCTGTATAGAAAAGACATTTTGCTGAAAAATGGAATTTGGATCTTCTGATCTTTGTTTGGGCTGTAGGTGTAATCTTGTGGATTTGATGGTGGAGATTGACCGGATGCTGCGTCCAGAAGGAACGGTAGTTGTTCGAGATTCCCCTGAAGTCATTGACAAAGTGGTCCGGATTGCACGTGCAATAAGGTTGACTGCCACCATACATGATCCAGAGACTGAATCAACTGGGAGGGAGAAGATTCTTGTAGCTACCAAGAAAGATTGGAAGCTATTTTGAGCTTCCCAGTGACACGGCCTTGTGTTCTATGTTCTTTGATCCTCCCCCTTCCCAGTCCGTGAGTCCAAGAAGTAATTGTCAATCCATACAAGGAAAAAAAAGAGGGAAAGAATAGGAAAAAGGAAATGCAGGTTTTTTCTTACCCTTCCCTCGTGTTTGGGTTAAATCATTGTGTTTTTTTGGTTGCTGCAAGTCAAGCTTTGTATTAATTGTAAAATAGGTTCTATTTATTTAGAGCCAAGAAAAATCAATGGCTTTCCTTCATTCTTTTTTGTTTCTTCTGACTTCTAAGATGGTCAATTTCCAAGTCCAGGCAAACAAGCCAGATTCTATCTGTTAGGTAGGTCCATCGGAATATGTAATTTGGCCCAAGTCAGGTGGGGACTTGGGGTTACAAAAAGAACTTGACATTGAGTATTAGGTAACCTGAAATCGCCGTTTTGTTTCCGCTAGTTAACCTTGCTTTTTTTTAATCTAATAAATGAGAATATGTTTTCTAATAAAATGCGTTAATAATAATTATTAATTGAAAAATTAGGCTAACTAAATCCTAACATGACTTGTTGAGTTGATGTCATTAGGTTGGGACGTAGGGTAGAGGTTAGAAATAGGGGTCCAACAACTCAGGTTATGGTTTGAATTGAGGGTTATTAGGTTAGGTTGACCTCCACTTGAACTTGCCTAACATCGAGCTCTATTATAGATTGACTGAGCTTCAACTTCTGAAAAGACCCAGCAAATATGAACTAAAACTAGGACTAGGACAAAAATGGCTGATGAAGAATGTTAAGCTTGCCAAATTTTCTAGTGCAAGACCCAATGGGTATGGTTGAATTCCACCATATGTCATTATGTATGTTGTGCAATGTGCATTTCACTGCATTTGCCTGGTGCTTCCATTAGCTCATCGTGCAATGTCAGTGAAACTAAGGCTGCGTTTTTTTACAATACCAATGCTGGTTCGAAGTAAATATTTACTCTGGTTGTCAAAATCGATGTAAATTTGTGGATATGCCAGAATTTTCATTGATATAAGCGTATCCAAGTAAACTTTTACACTCTTTCTTATCGATGTAAACAAGTCATGTCGTTTGTACACTTTGAAGACCACCTCGAACAACTCCACCAGAAAAGCAATTACGATGGTAAAATCCGATCTCAATTATTTTCCATTGATGACCTCTGAACCTGCAAATCCAACCAACGATCTAAGACACGGATGACTTCTTGTTACACTGGTGGCTTCTATATCAATTTCCTGGAAGGTAAGGGATTTTATAGTCCATTCCTTTAAACTTTTGTTTTTTTTAAGAAATCAAGATCATAAATATTAGAAACTCCAACAAGTGAACGAACGATTGAACTCTACTTCTGGTGAGAGAAAAGGCAAGAGAAAGGATAATGAAAACCAATGGCTGCAGCTGGCAGGACTGAGTGGGTTTCTGAGAATTTCATTCAACGGTCAACACCAATCGTAATGATTCATTTAGATTGCAAAGGGAGTCGTTGATCAATTTCAATCTGTCACAGAAGACTGCTGAAACTCATGAAGGTTCTTCCGTTGTTGAAGTCGTAACTTGTGAGTTAGTTAGATTTTGGTTTGGGTGTTAATGTTGAAATCACCAAATTTGATGAATGTTATTTACTTGTGAACTCTGCTTCTCTGTAAAAATCAAATGCCTTCTGAGACAACCATTATATTACGAAGGTCCCTCTCTAGCTTAAAGTTGATTCCTTCTTCTGTGAGCCGGCCCGTCTATCGTCTTCTCAGTGTCGGGTAAGAAGTTGCACCATCGCCAAAGATCATATGGGCGGTTGGCACTCGGAGGTTTGAACCCTGTGATGGTTGTCTCAGAAGTTGCTAGCAAAACACGGCTGCCGGGGTTATTCTCTGCAATGTCCTTGGCAACACGGAGGCCTGCGACACCTCCTGGGCAGTTGGCAATGCAGTCACTCTTCGGATTGTTTTCATGTTATAAACCAAATACTCACAAAACTGCATCATACTCTGTATTGTTAAATGCCAAACCAGAAGAGCACAAAAAAATCGAAATCCGATTCTAATTTTGTATTCACTTGAACCGGACAAGACATCATTTACAGCGTGCAAAATTGTATTTGCACTGCAACCAAACGCAGCCTAAAGTAATTATTACATACTTGCACCCATCGTAGACTTGTAGCTAGCTGCTCCTATCTCCTTACCTTTATCTTTTGAATGGGAATTACACATGAATCATCTCTTGTCTGAAGATGATGGGAAACCCTACATTATAGGTGACAAGAGGTGACCCTAAGACAACCCAAGAGAATTAACAACCCAGATTATTCATCAATCAAAAATAATCTGAACCCACCCTTCCATGGTTCAACCGATCAAAATCCCACACCGACTCTTTATTCATTGACCACACATATCAATCGGACAGTCAAAAACAACATAAGCTCACCAATAATCCCAACCATCTGATATATGGTCAATCAACACAGTAGAATGTCTTTAACAAAATTATTCAAATCCTTTTTCCTCATGATTTCTTGGATGCCAAAACTTAGAAAGAGGAAGCCTCTATGCGTAGAATGGGATGAGATATATCTCCTGCTCCCTGGACTCTCTATTTTAGATCAAATGAGGAAAAAAACTTACTGGTGTGGGATACTGGGATCAACCGGACAGTAAACGTCAAAACTTCAAAAGAACAAATAGGTTTTATGTCGAATAGAAGATGTTCATACTTCAACAAGAATGTTGTGTACTTGGAAGGTGAAATTCTCCCCGCGAAAGATGCTGTGGAGTGAGGTTTGAAAAAAATGGAAAAAAAAATCTAAAAAGGAATAAAATTTAGAGGGGATTTAGGAGAACAAAGCGGGCATCTGTTGTATATATCATTGTTTTACTATATAGACATAGATCCCTGCCCTACAAAAGTGTTTTGATTTCTTTCCTTGAACTACACTCTATGGGATGGGGTTTACTGAAAACAAAAATTCTGTGTACACTCCAATAATACACCATCCAATCACACATGAGGAATATCTAAAATTGTTTAAAATGCCTCCATGTTAATGGATAGGACTGTCAGTGGAGCAGCGAGCAGATATTGGATTGGTACAATGCGATGTCTGGACTATCCAAACCTGGTATGTTGCCATTTGTACTATTATCTTATATTAATGAACTGGATATTGGTTGAATCTAACCTAATTCAATATAAATCCATTACAAATGGACAAAGTCTAATTCAATTCAATAAATATTTTAGACCATTTAATTTGAACTGGTCCAATTAAATATGTGTTATTCATCAATCCAATTTGTTTAAATTGGTTTTGATTTAGACGGTTTTTAAACTCAAACCTAGTCTATTGATACCTTGATAATTAATGGGGAAGTAGAAAAAAAGCATAAAAGTTCAAAGGAGGGACAAATAACAACGCATCACCTTTTGGGAAAAAAAAATCCAGAAATTTTCAACCGGGAATAACATTAGGAAGTTATAAAAAATATATATATCTTCAAATATATAAATGAGCAGAAATAACAACGTGGTACCCGTGGCCTAATGGATAAGGCGTCTGACTTCTAATCAGGCGATTGTGGGTTCGAGTCCCATCGGGTATGATTTAAAATATCTCGGTCTTTTTGGGCAGAACTATTTGTATGATTAACTTTCAATCAAGAATAAAAAAGTAGGAACTCCGTATGAATTGGTGTCGTGGTGTAGTTGGTTATCACGTCAGTCTAACACACTGAAGGTCTCCGGTTCGAGTCCGGGCGACGCCAGCTTTGGCTCCCTAAATTTTTGTTGTACCTTCTTATTGAGTGTTGACGCTTCGTCCTAACGGTTTTTCGTAACATCACTACAAAGCAATTGATTTGTGCTGTCTGCGCGACCGATCGACGATCGTTCACTGTCTAATGGGTCTCAGGGGCTCCACGATCCGAATGGTAGTTCGACAGAGACAGTGCCACAGTGGCCAAAGCACTCCCGAACATCGCCTAAATCCCGTATATTCAAGTCAGCCTCTCTCACAAGAAGATGCTTGATGAAAATTTGGAGGTTGATGGATCAATTCCTTATTTTCTTAGGCTTCCAGCCGTTGGGTTTGTCTTATTATCCATCCAACTGCTTTTGTTAAAAAACACAGATCTGAGACTTCAGCTTACATGGTTTGTCATCAAATCTGAGATCAATTGACATCATTCGCTCATATCCGGTGCCAAAACGGTTTCATTTGGCTTTGGAATAAGGTACGAAGTAGATGATGAATCTGTCATAAAGAGAGAGGGAGAGAATGCCACAAGTAATGAAGCCGGTGACAGATTCAACTTTCCATGTTTAACTACACTCCATCCGAATACAGTCTTAAGTGGCAAGACATAATGGTTTATTCTTGTGGGTAGTAGGGGTGTTAATGATATTCAAAAATTCGACTTTAAATTCGAGATTCAACATAATTGAATCGAATTCAAATAATTTGAATATCTAATCGATCAAATTCGGATATTCTATTCATATCGAATAGTTAATTGGATTAGAATTCAAATATGAGCTGATTCGATTTGATAAATATCTGAATTTGATCGATTATTTAATTCTTATATATAATATATAAAATAATTAAATTATATAAATAATTTATATACTTTATTTAAATATAATATTTATTAATTACATAAAATAATTACTTGGTTGAATTCTAATTAAATCGAATATTTGAATATTTAATCAAATTCGAATTTGGATATTAAATTTCAATATCCATCGGATATCAAATTGAATTCGAATATCGGATTTTTTAATCAGATTCAAATGCCTTATTCAATTCAAATTCGATTCATTTACACCCATAGGTGAATGATGAATCCATTACTCAAACAATCTTTTACTACAAAGATTAACTTATGACCCAAAAAGTTGCTTGTGGAGTAGAAGGCAAGAGAATAAACCAACTGTTGTTTGTCCTTCAAGTTTAGCAAGAAAGCAAATCCACGACAAGGTTCCATTGTTAGTTGAATAGAAATCCAATGGCTTAGTGAGAGGCCGCCCATCCCATTCCTAATAGGGGGGTGGGATAGCACTGAACAGTGGAAAGGGGCTAAGCCCAAATATCACTAGATGGAGTTAAGAAGGATAGCAAAGAAGGAGCACCTATAGTGGGAGAATGCAGTATCTCTCAGCAATTGAATACATCTTTTGGTGGCAAAATGTTAGTAGAAGATCCGGACTCCAATCTAAGGCCTTGTTGCACCAAAAAGACGTGCAAAGCCCGTTT